AAAAGAAAAAATATGATTGGGATAAAATTCAAACACACTCCTATTTTATTATATATATATATATATATATATATATATATATAATAAAATAGGAGTGTGTTTGAATTTTATCCCAATCATATTTTCNGGGGGAATTTGCAGTAAAACCGTCGGATCAATAATCTCCTTAAACGATTTGAATCGCGAAAAAGTTTAAGACAAATAATCTAACTACTTTATTATATATATATATCTATATAATAAAATAAGAGTGTGTTTGAATTTTATCCCAATCATATTTTTNGACAAATAATCTAACTACTTTATTATATATATATATATATATATATATATCTATATAATAAAATAGGAGTGTGTTTGAATTTTATCCCAATCATATTTTCCCTTTTCAAAACCATCATCAATCACTTACCTCACCTATCATTTCTTTGTCAGATTCAAACGTCAAATTACATCACTCATTTCTATCACATATTTAATCATTTATTTATTTTCTCCTTAAAAATATCACACCACTCATTTTTATCATATATTCAATTATTTAATATTTAATTAATTTATAGTTAATATATTTAAAAAAAATTTAATATAGTGGGATCGATTTTTTGGACGCTCGAATTTTATATTTTATCGTGTCTTCAGGTACGGGTTATGACTAGTATATATATATATATATGTGAGAGAGAAAAAAATAAATAGTCATATTCTATACATGGATGANTATATATATATATATATATGAGAGAGAGAAAAATAAATAGTCATATTCTATACATGGATGGATATAGATAGATATGAGAAAGAGAAGATTTTAATATTAGTCAAACTTTTAAAGTTTAAGAGTTGTTAATTTTCAAATTTGTTTTAATTAAACATAACTACTAGGGGTATTTTGAACAATAGAGATCAAAATAGACTTAATATTAAACAAGTTTATTTTATGGACTTATCACCAATTAAGGTCACAAAGGGGGACCGGCCTCCAAATTTTCCTATAATATTATTGTAAGGAAGTTAAATTCTCAACTTATACAAGCACAATANAACATAACTACTAGGGGTATTTTGAACAATAGAGATCAAAATAGACTTAATATTAAACAAGTTTATTTTATGGACTTATCACCAATTAAGGTCACAAAGGGGGACCGGCCTCCAAATTTTTCTATAATATTATTATAAGGAAGTTAAATTCTCAACTTATACAAGCACAATAATAAAGATTAATCCAATTTTTATCTATTTTGATCAAATAGTACAAAATTCATAGTATCAGGCAATTCAACCGACACTCCCTACTGTCAGATAATCTCATTAATCCACACCTACTCTCTTTTATTGTTTTTATATTATCTTTAATTTTAAATTGTGTAATTAAAGAAAAAGAAATGACAAAAANAATGAAAAATAAATTAGTACTTAAAATTTAAATATTGCACATTCAATGTTCAATATTTTGTATTGTAAAGTATCTTCAAACGTAGATTGTTGCAACTGTGTGTGTGTGTATATATATATATATACACANAAAAAGAAATGAAAAATAAATTAGTACTTAAAATTTAAATATTGCACATTCAATGTTTAATATTTTGTATTGTAAAGTATCTTCAAACATAGATTGTTGCAACTGTGTGTGTGTGANACATTCAATGTTCAATATTTTGTATTGTAAAGTATCTTCAAACATAGATTGTTGCAAGTGTGTGTGTGTGTGTGTATATATATATATACACGCTGATTAAAATGATATGCTAAAGTAATGGAGAATGAAGTTATGGAATTGAAAGCAAAATTGGAGATTACTTGCCAAGCAACCCGGTGACTTCTCGGTTGCAAAAGAAGCACCAAATGTTTCAGATGAGATCAAGAAGAAGAAGATGAAAACTGACTCTTTCTCTCTTTAATATTTATCCACAAAAACCTATCAACTTTTACTCACCCATCACTCTCTACTTTTATTTATATTTACTCATTTCTAATTGCTTACAAGACCGAGTAATTAAGAGATTAACTTCCACCCAATATTTCAAATCCGATATTATCTCTTAACATTGCCTCTTAGAATGTTTCCATAGTCTACTCAACTTTTCAGCATAATTGGAGAAAATCAATGAGATTGAAGCTGAATGAAAATAATAAGAAACAAAAAAATAGAAGATGGTAGTGAGTATATAGTTTGATGTCTTCCTTATGCTATTTAGGCTAATATCAAAAGCACAATAATTGCTACAATGAGAAAGAAATTAACCTATGGTTTCAAGGCAATATTCTACCGCACCCACTCGTAACATTGTATGACTAATGCAATCATCCAATGATTTCAGGGATCTAGGGAACAATGAATTCACTGGTGAATTGCCTCCAAGCTTTAAGGAACTGAAGAAATTGTGGAGTTTGTAAGTCAATGTTGATGTTGCAGTGTTGTTCTCACTTGCATTATGAAAACTTATTTTTTTAAGCTTCATTGACGCTTCCTCTTATGCTTTATGGTTTTTGGGATTTGTAGTGGTATTAGAGGGAACAACTTCGCGGGACCAATACCCAAATACATTGCCAACTGGGAAAATCTTGAACAACTGTAAGCATCTAATTTAATGATTGTTAAACTAGCAACATATACAGCAAGGGCAAGTCTAAATTTTTGATATCCACATGTGGACAACTAATCTCTATAGGGGGCTAATGGGGAACAATTTTGAAGGACCTCTTCCTACGGGTATTACATTATTAACAAACCTTACCTACCTGTAAGTTCTGGCACCTCGCAGAAGGCATATATATTCTTTGTTTCTTGATCTTTCTATATAATGTCTGTGTCACTTTATTCAGGGCAGTTAATGGCTTAACTGCAAGCCCCAGAAGAGGAAAAAGCTTTACACTCCCAGATGTCACAAAGATGACCTCTTTGAATAGCTTGTAAGCCTTCCAATGAGCATTTAAAGAATGTACTCACGTTAGTGCTATGGGTCATATGATTTTTTATAGTGTCATATGTTCTTACTGCTCCAGGACCCTAAGGAATTGTTCACTCACTGGTCCAATTCCGGATATTATCTGGCAGTTACCATCGCTATCATATTTGTAAGATAATTATCTCGTGTATGGATTTTCAGATATTTTTTTTCTATTGTAACTCCACAGCCTTTAAATTTTGTTGTTCCTCTGCTATACTTTCCTTTTTTTTTTTT